GTCTTTTGGAACAAGCAAGACGACTCAGGTGTCATTTTGCGTAACAAGGCGAGATTAGTGGTTCGCGGGTTTCGACAAATCGAGGTCTTGATTATATGGAGGTTTATGCACCTGTGGCGTGATTGGAGGCTATTCGTATCTTCCTCACATATGCTTCCTATTTGAATTTTACAGTACATCGAATGGACGTCAAGACGGCTTTCTTGCATGGCAAGGTCAAGGAGGAGATTTATGTTGACCAACCGCCCGATTCCATTAACTCAAATCTTCCCAACCATGTCTACAAGTTAGATAAAGCTTTGTATGGGCTGCATCAAGCTCCTAGAGCTTGGCATGCTACCCTAAATCAGCATTTGCTCAATCACGGCTATTCCTGAGGCACCATTGATCAAACCTTATTTATCAGACATATCAGTTCGGATCAAATTCTTGTTCAAATCTATGTGGACGACATTATTTTTGGGTCGACAAGCCAACAACTTTGCAAAGAGTTCGAGGTCTTAATGAAGAACCGGTTCGAGATGAGTTCGCTTGGGGAGATGACCACGTTTTTGGGGCTTCAGGTCCAACAATCTTCAATCGGAATCCTTATTCACCAAGCAAAGTATGTGGACGATATGCTGGAGAAGTTTGGTTTTCGAGATGTGAAACCTGCTCTTACACCCATGACGGAGAGACCTGTACTGACTCCTGTTCTTGAAGATGAATTCGTAGATCAGACGAACTATCGATCAATGATCGGATCACTTATGTATCTAACTGCTAGTCTCCCAGACGTAATGTTTGCGGTCTATCAATGCGCTCGCTACCAGGCTAATCCTAAACTTTATCATTTAAATGTTGTTAAATGGATTTTGTGTACCACAAAGGTTGCCCCAAAATGGGTCTTTGGTATCCAAAAAATCTAGAATTTGATCTTTATGCTTTTTCTAACAGCAATTATGGCGGGTGCGAGCTTGATAGAAAATCAACTTCAGGAGGATACCAATTTCTGGGAGATAGACTGGTCTCATGGCAACGCAAGAAGGAGCATACTGTCTCCACCTCAACAGCAGAAGTGAAGTATGTCGCTGTGTCTTCCTGTTGTTCTCAAGTGATATGGATCCAACCTCATCTGTTGCACTACGATTTGAATTTTCAAGAAACCCCTATATTTTGTGATAATGAAGCTGCGATCCAAATTGCCAAAAATCCGGTCCAGTACTCAAAAACCAAGTACATCGAAATCAAAATTCATTTCATTAGAGAATGTTTTGAGCACTCGCTCATTCGGCTATAACAGGTCCGCTTTGATAATAATGTAGCAGATCTGTTCACCAAGCCATTTAACAAAGCTCGATTCGATGTGCTGGTTAATTTTCTGAAAATGATTCGCTTCGAGGATTAATTTTTGTTATGTTAGTTTAAATTTGCGCATTTTAATTTCATTCTTACCCATGCACAAATTTATGGGGAGAAATAAAGAAAAACCAAACAAAAATTAGAAAATCTATAAAATCCAAAAACATCAGAAAAATAAAAACCAAAAACATAAAAAAATAATAAAAAAATCAAAAATAGTTCTATAAAGTGATCATTTGGGAAGTGATATCAAAAGGTGATAACAGGAAATTTGGATCTGTGTAAAGTACCAAAGCTAAATTGTCTAGGCTCTGTGTTCGATGCGCTGGTAGGCACGAAGAGATTAACGGACTTGACTAGGTGCAGATGAACTTAAGGAATCTAGAGACTTGATAAATCTTGACGTAGATAGATCCGTTCAGCCTGACAATACGACGCTCGGATAGGTTGAGCAGGGAGATATACATGAGAATCCACCAATCACATTAAGAAGACCCGTATCTAGAACTGTGGTTTAACTTTTCCTCGATGTACGAATCCTATCCTTAATTACGGTATTGATGGGGCGATTGGAGAATTCCGATAAAGTAGGTCTGTAGAAAAATATTTTCTTTCTTTCATACTGTTGGTCATATGTTGTTCTCCTCTACGTGATTGGAAGAGATCCGACCTGGACTGCAACATATGCAAATCTATTTTTCTAAATATTATGTCTATGAAAAACATCTTATTTGTTAGCTATATGATGTCTCCTTTGTGTGATTAACAATCTGACCTAGTACACAGCATATGCAACCTTCTACTTCTCAATCCCTCTAAAATTTTTAATTAATAATGATCTGAATCTATCCTCTCCATGAATAATAGTTTGCTCAGCTAAAGTAAGGAGTATCTTGGAAGTTCTTGATTATTGGGGTATATCACGAAGCGAGAAACATGCTCTAGTACATCTAAAATTGAACAATTATAGATTGTCTGTAGATCTCGCTGCTCAATTTAGGTGGACAACAATATCCTTGGTCGTCGTCAGATAAATGGTCCTTAGGCTTTTTTTTTCTTGTAACTTAGGATCAATCTGTCCTGTCACTGATAGGAGTCTTAAAATTTGTCACAATTTTTCGTGCTTAAGTGGACCACAACACCAGTGATTGACAAAAATCTATTCATGAAAGGGGAGGTGCTGATAAATTGAAAACGATTGTCTAACAACTTTGATCCCAAAAGATTAATCAATTTCAAGATAGAGGACTAAAATCTCTTACAATTAAAATTTTAATAGTTTTTATTTTGTTTATTATTTTTTTATTTTTTATTATTTTGAAATTAATCCTCAAATTGTTTTGTCTCAAAAATTTTGAGTTTTGGGTTTTTATTGGCAAAACATGAAAGATGAAGGACCGACATTGAATCATTGGACCATATAAAAGAGGAATGTGCGGTCATAACTCTCTTTTTACCCTTACTTGACCGCACACTCCTCTGATTCTTTCTCTTTGTCATCTTCACGATATCTCCTCATTTTCATTGAAACTTAAGGTTAATACTCGTTAATATCATAAAAAACGACTACCATAATATTGTTTTGGATCAAAATCGACATTGAAAACGATGTCATATGTACGTGTGCGGCCGCACACATCGTGTGAGGCTGACTGTGTGCAGTTGGTCTGTGTGTGGTTGCCACGTGTGGAGCTTACCCGTGTACGGCCGCACCGTCCGTGTGCGATTGGACTCGTGTGCTGCTAATAAGTATTTAATGTTGATTTAATTTTTTTTCTTTGACTTTTTCTAATGTGTTGTTTATTTTATTTTATTTTTAGAAATTCATGGGAGACTCTGAGTTCGCAAAAGTGCACAACTTTTCCATCTTAATAAAAGATCCTCTAATGGCCCATCTCGATCTCAAATTCATTGTTGATGGTCTGATAAGATGTTGCTTGGTCTCTGCTCTCACATTCAGTCCACCAATCTATCAATGTCTGATTAAAAATTTTTGGAGAACTTTTCTAAGGAGGAACAATAATGATGAGGAATATCTTGAGGCATATATACAAGGAAAGAAAGTTTTAGTCACAGAAGACAACATTCGAGAAGCCCTACAAATTGATGATAAGCATGAATATCCAGGAGAGATTAGTGATAATCTGATTAAGGAAGTTCTTAGAAAAATGGGCTATGAAGGAACCTTTCCACCAACCCACAAGAAGCTGTTGCCACCTTGTTGGAAATATCTGGCTCATGTTTTTGTGAGCTGTATTTCAGGACGCAGATCTAGTGCTAACGAGATATCTCTGGCAAATACTGGTGCCATCACTACATTGGCCTCTAGAGTAAACTTTAATTTTTTATTATTTATCTTGCATGAGATGATTTTGAATGTTCAAGGAAACAAAAGGGACAAGTTTATGATGTATCCACGGTTTATCCAATTGATCCTTAACTTCATGCATCCTGAGATTGAAAGAAAAGGAGAGACCTTGGATATCAAGTCAGTCGGTCCAAGTGCCTTTGGTTTAATGAAGCAAAAGAGATCAAGAAAGCTCAACTTTGAAGGGAAATTTCCATTAATCAGATTTGGTATCTTTGCCGAGGAGAATGATCAGTTAGAACCCAACGAATTTTTTGGTCCTATAAAGACTGACGATGTGGTCGTCTCTACTTCTAAACCTGAAATTGAAGGAGGTTTAAAATCCTCTGCGGCCAGAGTTGCATCAGAACATGATATGATATAGATTGTTGAAGATGAGAGTGATTTTGATGGAGATAAAGAAGAACATGAAGGAAATGACGAATTTCTAAATGATATGGAATTCTCAGGCCTTCAGAATGTTGCCATTCCCCTCAACATTGATTTTGAACAGGAAATTGAACTTGACATAGATCTGGACCTCTCTGACAAGTTTTTCGAAAAGGTCGACGAAATTGCACAAACTGCAACCAAGACTAGGGCTGAAAAGAAGACTCTCAATCCTACGCCTCCTTCATCTACGCAAATGGAAGAAAATTCAAGTCAACAGGATACAAATTCAAGGATTCCTCCCCTAGACTCTGCTACTCTTACATTTATCTCGACACAGGCACATACCTCTCTGTCTCCCATACAAGGAATGGATCAGAATTTGAGGCAGGGATTATTCACTCAAAACCAGTCACTATCTGCTTCAGCCACTATTATCACCACAACTGTTGCAACACCACCTCTCCAATCCCATGAAGGTCCAAGTACCGTGCATGAGACAGGCGGACCATCTAGTATTCCAGCTTATTCCCCAACAAGACCATCACTTGATGAGGCCTCTATTAGACTCGTCAAGCACCTTGCTCAACACATTCCAACCTCTTCCTCTCCTGGAAAAGGTATATCTTTCAAAGAAGAGCCTTCAGGTGATGACAAATCTACAATGTCAGAACTTCGAGAAGAGATTGGTGTTCTCAGGAAAGAACTGATTGAAAAGAACATTCAAATAGATCAACTGACTTCTCACATTGAAGTGCTTAGAGAAAAGGATGAAGAGAAGTCTAAACAGATTAAGGATCTACATACGAATCTTGGCTCTGTGACTGCCTTCTACTTCAATTTGAAGAACGTTATGTATGATGCCTTCGGGGATAAAGTTAAAGCGTTATTTTAGCAGTCACATGGAATTGAGGATCCTCCCATGGCCCCCACTCAATCTACTTCAGGCGACCTTCCAATTGATCCACCTCCTTCTAGAACAACTACAATTGTCAACACATTTGAAAAGGAACCTGAAGGCAACAGAGTCCGTATCACAATCAAACAGGGAAAGAGGACTGTTACAGCTAACAAAAGCGAAGGGTTACTCTTCATGAAAAATTCAAACGAGAATCGCAAAGCCAAAGACCCTGTGCTAACAGTGACTGATCTCAAAAAGAGAAAATTTGGTGATGAGTATGGAGATCGCTCTGGGATGAGAATGTGGGGTTATGAACCTGAGTCTAAACTATGGGCGGTTAAGAGGAATTCTGGTCACTCAGAACACTACAAAAACATCCATGATTTTCACTCAAGGACAAAGGTCGACCTCTCTGAACTCTCTAGAGCCCCATTCCACAATCCCTCTAATAATCAAAGCGCTACAAATTTCCATCAGTTCCTGATCAGACAGGTTAGGGATAATTTCCCATCAATGAAGACAACAAAAGCCATGATTGTAAAGGATAAAGATATTTTTGATCCTGAGACTAATTGACCAATGAAGATCATGTTGTGGCCTGCTACGAATCAATTCAAAGATATTCCCATTCCACAATATTTACAGGAGGGATATCTTGATGATATGGAGTTTTGTGCTTTTGATGATGAAACAGCAACTGCAGCTATCAAGTTCAAAAACAGGGACACTGTTCTGAGACTCGTTTGCGCAAAGGATCTTCTGAGATTTAGGGAGAGAGACATTCAAACCCTAGCTCCTCACCAAATTATTTGTAGAAAAGATGTCATGGAGGTTGTTGCGAAGGAATTCACTAGAATGGTCGCCTCTATCATAAATGGAAAGCTATGGATGGGATCCAAGGGGGTGATTGATGGTCTTTGATTTTATGGTTTGGGCTAGGCATTCTTTTGTATAGGTCTTGATAGGATGTTGGGGTGTGTTATAGCTTAGCTGTGAGTGTGTGCTGCTGTTCCTGTGTGTGTGTGGCCGCACACTGTGTGTGTGGCCGTACACAAGTGTGCGCCTGCACTCTTGTATGCTGCTACAGGTGGTATAAATAGCTTTAGTTTGTGTTCGTGTGTCAGTAGTGAGTGACGAATGAAGAGTTATTTATATGTCTGTACTTTCAAGGTGTACTTGAAATTTATGAGCTATAGATGTGTGCATGCTTGATGTTATTTCTCTTCTACTTCTTCTACATTCTATTTTGATTGTTATTACTTCACTGATTACTAATTTGGATCTATAGTTTTTGGGACTAACAACTATATTTCCCAACTTGATTGTTTTAAGAAAATATTATAAGTTTCATAACTATTTTTATAGAATTCTTGATGTTTAACTTTATAAAATTTAAGTTTTAGGGTTTTTGAGAGTTTGTAAAATTTTAGATATCAAAATAAATAGAATATTTCAGACTTTAATGTATCTTATGGTGTTATAACTCTTTTATAGCTATAAATAATGTTTGTAATTTATGTTTATCGGTTTATTGACATTCTATGTAGTGATTCCGAGAGTCAAGCGAAATTGAGGAATCATTTAGACTAGTCCAAGTCTTCAACTTTGACTTAAGTTTCTATGAGACTTTGACCTAATTTCTACTTCTAGGTCAAGTTCATGATGTGTGTATGATTCATGAATTGGTGTTCGAGTCAAAGAGTGACCCGAATATGGATAGCCTCTACAGTTAAGTAGTAGTAGAATTCACATACCAATGTGAAATCCAAGCATATTATCCATTGTTTCTAATGGTTTCCAAGTTTCTAATAGGTTATATCTTAACTTCTAGTTACTAAGTTCAGTATGTGTCGTGCCAATATGTGCGACTAAGTTTATTCAAATCTAGAATCGACTCGAATTTTGACGGTTGTCATAATAAATCTTTGGTATTTTTGACTAATTTCAAGACATGTATCCAAAATAACATATTATGGTTTATATCCCAGAAAAATGGTGTAAAAATTGGTTATAACCATTTTTGCTAGATTAATCATATTATGTTCATAAAAACCCTAGTTTTATGGTTTTGTGTTTATGACATTTTCCATAAGAACATTTAGCATGTTTATACTTGTTTTTCCATAGTTTTGTATTATAAACAAACTTTTACATCTAAATGTTCATAAAGCTTGGTAATAAGATCATTTCATGTATTTAACAATTTTACATAATAAATAAGAAAACATGCATGACAACTTGTATGTTAACACAATTTTACTTGTGTTTTACTTGTATTCTCACATAAACTTTGAAATCTCAAAAATGGAAGGGTATGAATTCACCTAATGTGTGTTTTCTTGATGAGTGCAAGGTTGTAGATGGAATGTTTCAAGTCAAGAACACTTTGAATATTTGAAGATCCTATGAATAGTAACACATGAAATATGTAAATGGATTGAAACTAGTATTGAAGTGTATAGAATCACTAGGAGATGAAGAAAGTAATTATCAAAACTTCAAGAACACTTGGAAGAATTTAGGGTTGGAAGATTAGGGCTTAAATTGGAGAAGAGGAGTGAAGAATGATCAAGATGGTGGTTGTAAAGGTGCTCTAGACCACACCTTAAATAGAGAGGGGGGGGGGGAGAATGGTGGGGTGGTGGGTCAGGTGGCTTATGTGGGGTGATGAGGGCGAATGTAGATGGGAGTTAAAGGTAGTCTATTAGAGGGTTAGTATTTGGCTTATTTAAGATGGAAGTACCATCTAATTACTAGTGATTTTTATAGAAAAACAAATGCCAAACTTTTATAAATGTTGGTATTTTTATAAAAGGGATAGTGTTTTATAAAATAAATAGGGTATAAAGGATGTATAAGATATCTAATTTGAATTTTAAAATTTCAAATTATTATAACAGACATGGTTATCAAATAATAATACACTTCATAAATAGTTAGGTTAAATTTCCAAGTTTGTTTTGTTAAGTTTTGGTGTTTAGACGGGTATAGATTTTGTTTCATTTGGAGACGAATTCACCAAAAAGTTGTGTTTGTAGCCTTTGTTATGAATTTTCCATGTAGTGTTACGTTTATGAACCCTACAACATTGTGTTACATATATTATTTAGTCCGAAATAATATAATGCTGAATTATTGAGTTGTTACATTAATAACTCTAATTAAGGTTTATATTTGATAATTGGTAAAAAGAAAGGTACTTCGTACTAATACTTGTATGCTGTACGTTAGGAACACTAGTAAACATAGTGTTTACCCTAAAATCGTAATACTAGTCGAGTTGGCTTGGTTAACTTGTCGACATTGTTTGACCAAAAATTGGCAGTTGTCACATTAAAGATCCAATCAAGTCTGATCAAACCAGTCAATGTTTGAAGACTAAACAAATTATTCAAGAAGATTAAGGTAAAGCAAAGTACGAACAAAGTAAAGTAATTAACAATAGCTAGAAAGTATTAGAGAATATTGATAGAAATGAGAGAAGTGAAAGTTTCTATTTGATGCTTAATAGAGGTGTATTTTGGTACAAGGTTGACACTCCTTTTATAGCCAAAGGATGCACAACAAGACAAATACAATGAACAAAGAGTGTGTGCAGTAGTAAATAAAAACATGAAAAATCGGATTTCCTCTATAATGATGGTAGGCTAAAACTAGAATACATATAAAAGAACTATCTTCTTGTGAGAGTAAGTTGGCTAAATTCTGAATCAGAAGCATCTTGGAACTAGTCATCTCGCAATCGTCATCTCTGAATCTTCACTATCGTTGAAAAAAATATTATTTATCGGGAAAAGGATGATCTCGGACTCATCATCTCATTAGAGGAATTATTTCAGAATGTCTTCATCGATTTGGAGTCTTCACTTTCAAACAATTCATCTCGGACAAAAGACTATCTTGGAATTACTATATTTCAGAAGCATGACATATCGAAATGGCTAGACATCTCAAGTTTTCTAAGGGGCAATTTCATGTACTAACATCATGATGTGATTATATCATATTGGTGCATGAAGGAAGGTATCTTATGTGCTAGAGTAAAGACCAAATTTTCTAGCTATTGCATCAAGCGATAAAAGGTCATTAAAAATAATCATTCGGTCTATTCTAGTAGTGAGAGTAAAGAGCATATCTTCGGTTAAATATGTTCTAGAAGGAGTAGGATTCTTTGATAAATATAGAGTTTATGACTTGAGGGTTAGAACTAAATATCCAACAAAAGGTAAAGGTACAGGTGCAAGATAAGCACTTCCAATAGACGTCTAAGAGTGTGATACTCCTTTTAGGAAGTCGCAAGAGTTATGATTAATATAAAAGGGATACACATTGGGATGTTACTAGTATGATGATACTGGTTACCTTAAATATGGTCAAGTAGAGCACGGAAAGTTACTCATCTTAGAAAAGAGGAAGAAAAAAGTATTGAGTTTAGCAACCTACATTGATGCTATTAGTACCACCCTCTTATGCCATCTAGTACATATGTATGTTAGTAGAATGATATAGGTGCTTGTTATAATCTTGATCAAACTACAATTGTGTCTTACAAAAAGGTCACTCATTATAAGAACATACGGTGATAATGCATCAAAAATGTTAATCTTATTATGACAATTAGGAGTTTCTTTGAAAAAGAAAGAAAACTACCAGTCATAGAGATGAAGTTGTCTTGGTATTTATTTTTTATAAGTAGTAGAAAAGTGAGGGTTCAAACCCAATTTAAGGAAACATAAACCATTAAGGAAGAATACGAGTTGCAGCTTCACTACATATTCAAAGCCAATAATCCAAAAGAGTTGAAACACTAGAGAGAGTTATTAACTTTAGATACTATCTTGAAGATAGTAGATTGGATGATTTGGTTGGAAAGCAAAAGGAAAAATACCACAATCAAACTTGTAACCTTTACCTGTGCCTATAGGTAAGTGGGACGATCTCATTTGAAATTTTAACATCAAATGACATAGGATTGAATATAGCCGCGCTATGTTATGGGTCTGAATTGATAAGAGTATACCTTCATGGGTATCTTATATATAAAGAATTGGTCTATATAGGACATTTTTGTAGACTCATTATCAAGAATATGGAGAGAATTTTGGGTCATGGATGATTCTGTAATCATCTTAGGTTATTTATATTAGTGATAACGTAACATTCAACAAAGCTTGAAACCTGAAAAAGGCACAAAACGCTTAAGTTCATTGCCCTCATCAGTTTTAGGAAAAGCAGAAATGTTTAGGTAAGGTATTAGACGTAATTAGAGAACTTAAGTAGTACCATAATTGATAGAGTTAATGATATGGAATTAGGTTGGCAGGATGATAAGTAGTGACAAAGGAATTAAAAATATTGTTTTGTTTTTAGCAAAAAGAAATCGGTTAAGATAGCATTATGTGGAAACAAGTACTAAGCAAACTCCTTACTAAAGGATTGAGAGACAACATGGGAGTCCTTATTTAGTGCTATTTTGCTGATGATTTTTGCACGTAATCATCTTAAGGGGAATGTAATTGTAATGCCCACAAATATGGGCTATAGATTTAAAATATTATAGGTAATAATTATTATAATAATTAAGAATCCTGGAAAAAGATAATGATTAGTCATGCACGTCGCATACTATATAATATAAGCCTAGTTAGTAAATTTATAGTTAAGCGATAAAAAGACATTTTAGTAGAAGATTATTTATGATAAATAAGCTTAGACAAAGTTAGAGTATGTGTAACAAGGTTTTTGTGCATATAAATAACTTTGAATTACGACTTCGTATAAAGAAGTTTTGATTTTTCTAAGTTTCACGATTAAACCGAAATGGCTACACACCTCGTAAAAAGGTGAATATAAGATAGATTGTTTATTATCCTAACTAATCTAAAGGAAATTCATAGAATTCATTAAAATAAGAGTGTGCA